CCAGGATCCATCTGACATTGGCTATGATGTCCCTTGTGCCATGGCATCTTCTAAATCCAGTTCTCTGTCAATGTACTGTTCTGGTTGTGTTGTTTTTTGGTGTTTTTTTTTATAAAATTCAGTAAGATTTTGCTTGCGTATGATATTGTTCAATAACTTCCACACTCTGTTGGCTCACCTATGCCCTCCCAACTCAAAGATAATGCAATTCAGATCCATTAGTTGCTCTGAGGGAAAAAGATGGGGTATATCCTCCCGAGCAATTTACTGCCCTTGAAAACCTACTGGAGGGTCAACTGTGGGTCAACTCTTACTCGATTGTATACAACAATAACAACAAAATAGTAGTTTAATAAGTAATTGAGTATGTAACTTTATGCCAAAAAAATATTTGGAAGACAGCTGGCACCAGGTAGAGGTCCACACATGTTGTTATGGGCCATTGAGTCACTTGTGACTCATAGCGACCCTATCTACAATAGCTCTGAACCCTACTCTATGCTGTGCCCACTTTATTGTCTTTGAGACACCTTACCCCCTTTACCCTAGTCACTGAGTCAATCCATCTCATCAAGGGTCTTCCTCTCTTGCATTGTCCCTCGACCCTCTCAAGCATGACATCCCTCTCCAAGGACTGATCCCTCCTTGCAACATGCCCAAACTGTGTCAGATGAAGCTTCAGAATCCTTACCTCTAAGGAACAGCCTGGTTTCACCCTCTCTAGAATGAACCTGTTTGTTCTCCTAAAAGCCTGTGGTATATTTAATACTGTTCTCCAGCAACATAACTCAAAGGCATCAATACTCCTATCATCCTTAGTCACTATTCAGCTTTCTGACACATTGCAAGTAATTGAGAAGACTGTGGCCTGGATTAGGTGCACCTTAGTCCCCATACTGACATTGTTGCTCTTCAGTACTCTGGAGAGGACCTTGACTGTAGACTTTCCCAGTGTAATTCATCTTTTAATTGTCTGGCTACTGGTTGTGAAGCCAAGCAAACTAAAGCTGTTAATAGTCTCAATCTCTTCACCATCCATCATGTTGCTGCCAATTAGCCCAGTAGTGAGAATCTTCTTTTCTTGATACTGAGCTTCAATCCATACTTAATGCTGCAATTCTTGACCTTCTTCATCAAGTACTTCAGATCATCCTCAGTTTCAGAAAGCAGGATTTTGTCATCTACATAAAACATATTGTGGATGAGTCTTCCTCCAATCCTGATGCCACATTTCTCCTTAGTGAGCCCAGCCTCCCTAATTATCAGTTCTGCATATAGGTTGATAAGGTATGAAGATAAGACACATCCCAAGCATACACCCTTCCCAATTTTGAACTATACAGTATTGCCTTGCTCTGTTCTGAGGACTGTCTCCTGATCCAAGTATGTTATTGCTATGTGCCATCGAGTCGTCTGTGACTCATAGCGACCCTATGTACAACAGCCTTAAACCCTGCTCTATCTTGTGCCAGTATCACTGTCTCTGACACACCTACCCCGTTACAACAGTTACTGAACCAATCCATCTCATCAAGGGTCTTTCTTTCCTGCACTGTCCCTCCACCCTCCCAAGGTTGACATCCCTCTCCAAGGACTGGCCCCTCCTTGCAACATGTCCAAAGTATGTCAGATGAAGCTTCAGAATCCTTGCCTCCAAGGAGCAGCCTGGATTCACCTCTCCAGGATGAACCTATTTGTTCTCTTAGCAGTCCATGGTATATTCATGGTTAATATTCTTTTCCAGCACCACATGGTTAGTATTCTTCTCCAGCACCACAGCTCAAAGGCATCAATTCTCCTGCTATCATCCCTAGTCATTATCCAGCTCTCTGAAGCATAGGAAGTGATTACAAAGACTATGGCCTATATCAGGCGTACCTTAGTCTCCAAACTGATATTGTTGCTCTTCAGTACTTTGGAGAGGTTTCTGACAGCAGACTTTCCCAATGCAATTTGTCTTTTA